ACCTCTCCCCTTCCTTCTGTGCATGTATGGGCGTGTACGGGAGTTCCTGTGAGTGAGTGCTGATAAAATTCCGGCAGACAATCATGTTCATAACAGTTGGTATTGGAGCAGATCGGAGCCAGACAGTGGCGAGATGATGGACTGAGGCAGCCATCACTATCTGAGGGCTTCTGACGTAGGGTTTCGTGGAGAGACTTCATCTTCAGGGTTGCGCTCAGTAGGGTGTTGGCGAAGAATGTGTGGCGAGTGGTATGACAACAGGGATTGGTGGCGATTCAGTGCTCAGTGGCCTAGGAGACACTGAGGGGCTATTTTAGCCCAAGTGGTGACTCTGCTAGTGGCGAGATACCTGGGGGTATGTCGAGTTGCAAATTCTGGACCAGGTTCATAGAATTTGGTTAGTGGGGGTTATTCGCCATATCAAGAGCTTCAGTATCACCAAGTTTCAGGAGATTTTGAACATGGGAGCACCAGGAAGAGTGGATGGAAGAAACTGGCGAGATGGCAGCCATAGCCAGTTCAGCTTCTTCATGCAGTGTTTCGACGTGAAGTGAGTGTGTTCCTTACTCAAGTCCCTGTAGCGAGTCTGATGAGTGTAATTAGACTGGGTAAATAGTATATGCATGTTTGTTGTCAGTGAAACTGGAAAATCGCACTGCCTGACAGCCATAGCCATTTCTCCTACCTACCTACTTTGACTTCTATTGACTCTGTTTGACCTCCTTTCTACCTCAAATTGCATCTCTGACTGTATTACAGTATTGCGAATCAGTATGCACTACGAATTGAGTAGTTCAGGGTCTAGATGTCAGTGATAATGAAATTCTGAATATTGTGCTGCCATAGCCAGTACCTGGGGCAGCTAGGGTTTGCCATAACTTAGGTTCTGTCCGTCATAATTTCAATCTGTCAGTCACCCTGAAATCGCAATTCAGTATCTAGTCAGTGTCTGAAAGCGCTATACTGGATTTGATGTTTTGAGTCAGGTACAGTGATATCTGTACTTCGCCTCACCTATAGTGGGGCATACAAGGTCTTACAGTGCCAGTATCAGTAGTAGGAGTCTAAAAATAGCTTGTTCAGTCACCCGCTGCATCTTGGTTGACTCCTGGGGTCTGGGGATTGCTACTGACTCTCTGCGCTATTCTACTCTGTCTACTTACAGCGATTCTGGGGGGTATTGACTCAGATGAGGGTTCTGGGCTGTGAATGAAAAATCGCAAATCTGGTTTTCTCTGGTCTTAACCTAAACTGACCCAGAACAGCCCTCGGCAACCTACGGAGGCTGAGCGCTCTTCTGCCTATCACACCACGTCTCTTCTCATCAGGTGGCAGTGATTACATCTTTGTGTGTGTGTAGTCTTAATCTCTGCTCACCTCCTATCTGCCTGTTTATATTTATTTTGACTGTGTGGGGTGTGCAAAAATGTCTGAAGGAAAGACAGAGGAGGCCGAAACTTCGGCCACTCCTGACCCTCCCCAGACTCCTCTTTCCCCTCTGGAGCAAGCATTGCTGATTGCAGAGGAAGCTAGGCGAAAGGTTGATGAACAAATCGCCAAGCTGAGGAAGGAGAAAGAGGAAGCTGAGGAGGCAGGGAGGCAGGAGGAAAGGAGGAGACAGCTTTTGGTGGAGGTGCAGAAGGTGGTTGACAGTGGTTCTGCCAGTGGGTACAATAAGAGTATTGCTGAGTTGGTCATCCTGAATGACACCCTCAGCAGGTCTTATTTTTCCAACTGGGACCACCGGATCTCTGCTGTGGAGAGTCAGGTCTCTGCCATCGAACACAAGGCGGATCAGATGGCAAAGGATCTGACCTCTCTGATGACAGGGATGAACAGCGTTCTGCAGCACCTGAAGCTGCCTCTCCTGTCCCCCCAGCCGGTACAGCCAGAGCTGATCACCCGACCAGCGGGTTCACCACCTCACAGTCGTCCAGCCTCACCTGCTGGTTCTCATGTATCCACCCCTTCTGTTGCTTCTGGTACATATGTGCAGCGAGGGTCCAAGCTGACACCACCTCCTATGTATTCTGGGGAAGACCCCAAGGTGGATGTATCAGACTGGGTCACCGCTATGCAACCATACCTGGGCAGCTTCACATGCCCAGAAGCAACAAAGGTGAGAACCATTCTTGGCCGGTTGGAGAGGTCTGCACTGAAATGGTGCACCTCCTCTGCAACCAAAGAAAATATTGCTATGGATAGATGGGCACAGCAGCTGGGGGTGGCAAGGTTGCTGAAGGCGCTGCAGGACCGGTTTGCTGACAGGGAGCAGGCCCGCAAAGCAGCTGATAAAATTATGCTGCTTGGGTCCCATAGATTTGAGGGCTCTCTGTCCAAGCTCTACAGTCTGTTTGAGAGCTTGACCTCTACACCTGGTCTGGAGATGAGTGAGTCTGACCAGGTCACCCATTTCCTGCGTGCAGCCCCTCCAGACTATTGCTTTGTATGCTCAGGGCCACAAGGATTGGAGGTCCTTTGGCAAAGCGGCACTGGACCTAGAGTCCTGGCTCAAGGTCCAGACTCCTTCTGAAGGAAGGAAGAGGCCTACCTTCCAGGGACAGCGCAGGAGGAAAGGCGCTCTATTGGCTGCTGATGCAGGTTCTGATTCGGATGCATCTCAGCGTGGCAGTCCTCCATCTGAGACTGCATCAGGATCAGCAGTTGAGCCAGCCGTTCTTGCCCTGGCTGAGAACCTTGCTGCCATGTTCAAGGGAAAGTTCGGCAAAGACAGCAGCAAGGGTTCAGCCAGCCAGAAGGGGAAAGGGAAGGGACGTGCCACTTCCCCTCAGGCCCAGAGACCCAATTGACCACGAGACGTCCATTGGCCAGTTAACGTCACGGATGCTTCCACCCTTCCCTGGAGAGCGCTCAGGATCCAGGAAGGGCAATGGCATAGGAGGAAGGACCGTGAGGTTTGTTTTCGCTGCGAGGGGGACCACTTCTTAAAGGACTGTCCCCACATGCCTCACAGGCCTGGATCGAGTTCAAAAAACTCGACCAGTTGAGGGAAGTGGAGTTTGCAGCTCCCTCCACTTATGCTGAATCAGATTCTGATGGATCTGATTCTGCATCTACCCTCAGTGATTCTGTTGTAGGAGTTGCTGCGTCAGGATCCTTTACTTACATGGACCCTGACCTGGATGAGACGTGGCAGGAAGATGATAGCCAGACTTTTGCTGATCTTTTCCTGTCTTTGCAGGAGAAGAAAAAGCATAAGCCAGACCTCATCTTGCTGCGACCTTCTATCCTGGGAGCCAAGATCAAGGGCCTATTAGATTGTAGGCCTACCTGGAACTTCATCTCTCCCAAAGCTGTCAGCAAGCTGCATCTGGATGGGAGATTGGTGAAGTTGCAGCAGCCATTGGAAGTCCGAATTGGGGACTCTTCCACAATCCGCATTACATCTGCTGTCAAGAACCTTCCGGTTATCTTCGACAAGCAGGAGAGGGTCAGGCAGCGCCTGGACTTCTATGTGTTTCCTAATGTACCCTTTGATCTTGTGTTTTCCATGCAGTGGCTTGAGGCCACTAACCCTAGGATCGACTGGCAGATCCCTCGGGTAGAGCTTCCTGACTGTAGAGGAGACTATCAACCTTGTGTCCTGGTTGATGAGTATCATCCAGTCAGCAGTTGTTATTGTATGAGCGCACACGAGTTTTTCCAGCTCTCTCGCCAGACTGCCCACACACGTCTCTTCGTTGCATATGTGAAACAGACTGGTGTGGAGGTTGCTCCTTGTCCCTCAACAATTTAGCAGGTTTTGGACCGGTATCCAGACCTGATGCAGGAGCCTACTAGACTCGTCCATAGGCAGACCCAGCACAGGATTGAGCTCCTGCCAAGTGTGGTCCCTCCCAAGGGCTGTGTCTATAGGATGTCACTTGCTGAACTCGATGAGCTCAGGAGACAGCTTGAGACCCTGACCAGCAAGGGATGGATCAGACCCAGCACATCTGAATTTGGGGCTCCAGTTCTCTTTGTCCCAAAGGGAAATGGAGAGTTCAAAATGTGTGTGGACTACAGGGGTCTCAACAAAATCACTAGGAAGTCTACAGAGCCCCTTCCTAGGATTGATGATCTGCTGGACATGGTGCAGGGCTGCACAATCTTCAGCAAGATCGACCTCAAATCTGGCTACCAGTAGATTGAGATGGTTGAAGGCGATGTCCACAAGACTGCCTTCAAGACCAGATACGGTACCTATGAGTACCTGGTCATGCCCTTCGGTCTTTGCAATGCCCCTAGCACATTCCAGACAGAGATGCATCGCATACTCAGGCCTTACCTGGACAGGTTTGTAGTTGTGTACCTGGATGACATCCTGGTATTCAGTCGATCTGTCGAGGAGCATGCGCAGCATCTGGCTCTAGTTCTCCAGGCACTACATGAGGCCCAGTATAAGATCAACAGGGAAAAGTCCTCCTTTGGAGTGACTTCTGTGACTTATCTGGGACATGTAATCTCTGGGGAAGGGTTGGCCTCTGAAGCGCCAAAGATTGCAGCGATTCAGGACTGGCCACAGCCTACCACAGTTCGTGATGTCCGGTCATTCTTGGGCCTTGCATCATACTACAGGAAGTTCGTTAAGAACTTCTTTGCCATTGCTGCACCCCTGACTGATCTCACAAAGAAAGATACCCACTTTCTTTGGACATCAGACTGTCAGCAGGCTTTCACACACCTCAAGGAGGCCTTGATGTGTGCACCTGTTCTGAAGCTACCTGACCCGACCTTGCCTTTCGTACTAACTACTGATGCTAGTCAGTATGGGGTTGGGGCGGTACTTCAGCAGGATGGTGGGCATGGTCTGCAACCAGTTGAGTATATGAGTAAGAAGATCAAGGTCAAGAAGCTGCAGGATTCCACATACGAGAAAGAGCTATATGCTCTCGTGTCAGCGCTGAAGCATTGGAAGCATTTCCTCATGGGCCGGCATTTTCAGATCTTTTCTGATCACTCCACCGTACAGTGGATGAAGACTCAGGGGGAACTGAATGACAAGCTCGCGCGCTACATTCAGTTCATTGATCTCTTTGACTTTGAACTGAAACACAAGAAGGGCTGCTACAATCGTGTAGCAGACGCCCTTTCTCGTAGGCCTGACGCTGTCTGCATGATCTCCTCCACTCATACCTTTGGAGAGAGTACTCGTCAGACCATTGCCCAGGTATTGCCACAGGACCCGACTTTCGGCCCGATCGTCAGGAATCTGCAGACTGATCCTGCCTCTGAACCAGGATATCTTCTGGTTTCAGATCTGCTGTACACGTGCAGCAGAGGAGAGGAGCGTATGTGCATCCCTAAGGACCGCCAGCTGAGAACACTCATGATGTCTGAGTGTCATGATGCTCGCGGCCACTTTGGGGCCTTAAAGTCGTTGGCAGCCCTGTCGCAGCGGTTCTTCTGGCCTGAGATGAGGAAAGACATGCTGCACTATGTTGAAACCTGTGAGCTGTGCCAAAGGAACAAGGTCGTTCGTCGGCCTCCCCTTGGCCTACTCCAACCACTTCCCATCCCTGAGGCACCTGCACAGTCAGTGTCTATTGATTTCACTGATCTAGGGAGGACCACTCCCCGTGGTATGCGTCAGGTTATGGTGTGTGTTGACAGGTTCTCTAAGTATGCAGAGTTTATTCCTCTGCCAGAGGAAGCCAGAGTCCTGGCCGTACGAGCGGCCTTTGCTGACAGGTGGGTTACTCACCATGGACCACCCACCTCCATTGTCAGTGATAGAGATCCGCGATTCTGCAGTAATGAGTGGCAGTCCTACTGTAAGGACTACCTTCATTCCAGACTGAACATGACATCTGGTCATCATCCTGAAGCCAATGGGCAGGTTGAAGTGATGAACCAGATTCAGTTTCAGTTGCTGCGTCCTGTGATGGGCCCTGATCAGCAGGATAGGGATCTCCATCTAGGACGGGCACAGCTAGTGTACAACACCTTTGTACACTCCTCCACCGGGTTCACCCCTTACCAGTTGCACTGGGGACGTGAACCACGGCAGCCTCTCGATGATATCATCGATAAGGCTACACCGAGACTGACCCCTGGAACTGCAGAGTTCACCAGGCAGTATCAGAGGGATATCGAACGAGCCAGAGTTAACCTGCTCAAAGCCCAAAAGGCTATGATTCAGCAGGCTAACAAGCATCGTCGACCATCCCCCATTCGCGATGGTGACTGGGTCTGGGTACTCAGTTCTCAGCTATCACGGGAGGAGGACATTTCGCCTAAGCTGTTGCCGCGCTATATGGGCCCATGGCAGGTTTTGGATACAGCGGGGGCTGACCCTTTTGGGCCATCCTATCATGTAGATGTCCCACTGCATCTACAAACCTACCCTGTCTTCCATGCATCTAAGCTGTTGCCTTTTACGCCAGCTGATGCATTTCCGGACAGGCCTCCACAATTTGGTCCCCCAATCCCTGGGAAGGGATATGAGGTGGAAGAAGTTGTGGATGAGTATGGTACAGGCCTGGATAAGGAGTACCTTGTGAAGTTTCTTTACCAGCCCCATACTGAGGATCGTTGGTTCACTCGCAAGGAGGTCCTGAAAACAGCGAAGTCTGTAATCCTCAAATGCGAGGCTGCGCAGAAGGGAGAGCCCCTTCGACGCTCTGCACGCCTACGCCCCTAGCTCGGAGGTCCTCGCTCCGGGGGAGGGTAGGTCTGCAACGACTTGCTGTTTCCATGCTGCCTGTAGCCTCACTCTGACGAGGCTGTACTCTAGGTAGGGGCAGATTCGTAATTTTGTTTGGATGAGGGCTAACCGAGAGACCTGCCTGTGGGGGAAATTCGTGAGGGACATATTTGTAAATATAGAAATATGGTCCTGTACTAACCCGACTTTCCTAACAGCGACCCTAA